GACTTATGCGACTCCGCCCTCAGGCCGCGGGGCCACTGCCTCCCATTGGGTCTCGGCGAGGCTGCACTCCCGAGCAGAACTGAGGGCACGTTTGTTTGCCACCCAGCTCCTGATTGGGCCCGCCTGTTGGGGGCGGAGCCTGACGCCTTGTTAGCTATCGGGCTCCTGATTGGATCCACCTGAGTCAGCCCCGCCTACGGAGCTTCAGCAGGCTTGTTTATACCACTAATTAAGTACCTGCTTCAAAAACTCTGAAGGAGCCATGGTGCTGTGTTGGTTCAGCGTCCAACTGATAACCAGAAGCCTCTCTGTGGGACAAAGATGGGACCTGGCATCTACTTCCCTAAGAAGTATTGTCTTGGAAACCCTGTGGCGTTAGGAATGGTTAACAATGGATCGGTTTGACAAAAATTATGGGCTTCTGTACAAAGAGTAAATGTAGGAAATGAAGACAGGATAATGAAAAACTAAGGATTTTTTGGTTGGTTGGTTGTTTTTTTTAAAGTGAAAATAGTGTGTTAAAAAAAAAAAGGATACTGTGGAGGCAGCTTTGATTTGCAGCCAGAAGCCCTGGTGGGTTAGACTTTGGGCTGCTCACAATGCCAATGTTTAAAGTCACCAATCGCTTTCTGCAATTGACGGTCTGCTTCTGTAAAGACTACAACCTTGGAGGCCCTGGGGGCCAGCTCTACTCTGCCCACAGAGTCACTCATAGGATCATTATGATGCAATAGAGACTCAAGGGCACCGGCAACAACTACACAATGCCATTAAGTAGGGGCACTTCCCTATGGGACCAAATTTGAGGACTTGCTTAAGAAAGATGCCCCAAAACAGCCAATCAAATCCACATCTATTGAATTGATTGCTAATCAGAACCACCCTATAAAACTGCCCTGCCAGGTTTCCGAGACAATAGTACTTAACAAATGAGACAGTTCCATTTTCTCCTACAGAGTACCTGTGAGGTTGGAGCGCTGACTTCTTGCTTGGTAGACAAGCATTTTAACCAGACCACGAAGAAACTCAAAGGAGCTGGTTGGTGGGGAAATCTGGAGGAGAAAGTCTTGTGGGAGGGCTAGCATGCTTAGACTTTGCATTCACACCTTGCCAACTATTCTTCCAAGATCTTTTTTTTAAAATCATTTTATTGGGGGCTCATACAGCTCTTATCACAATACATACATAGATACATTGTATCAAGCACATTTGTACATTTCTTGCCATCCTTTTCAAAACATTTTCTTTCTACTTGAGCCCTTGGTATCAGCTCCTCATTTTTCCCCTCCCTCACGAACCATTGATAATTTATACATTTTTAAAAATTTAATTTAATTTTATTTCTTTTGATAATTTATACATTATTATTATTATTATTTTATGTCATACACTGACCGATGTCGCTCTCCACCCTCTTTTCTGTTGTCCATCCCCCAGGGAGGGGATTATATTTAGATCATTGTGATCGGTTCCCTGTTTCCCCCCACCCCCACCTTCCCCTCGCCCTCCTGGTATCCCTACTCTCATCATTGGTCCTGAGTGGTTTATCGGTCCTGGATTCCCTGTGTTTCCAGCTCTTATCTGTACCCATGTACATGCTCTGATCTAGCCATATTTGTAAGGTAGAATTGGGATCATGAGAGTGGGGGAGGGGGCAAGGATGCATTAAAGAACTAGAGGAAAGTTGTATGTTTCATCAGTGCTGTACTGCACCTTGACGGCTCAACTCTTCCTTGTGACCCTTCTGTAAGGTAAGGTGACCAGATTTAAAGCGGACACCATTGACCAGGATGGGGTGGGGAGTGGGTGTTCTTGATTAAAAATTTGGTCTATATGGACCAAATAGACCATTCCCTAGCTTGTCGTGCATTCTTTCCATAAATCGGGACTTTTTAAAAATGCAAAAAATCGGGACTATCCCGCCCAAAGCGGGACATCTGGTCACCTTACTGTAAAGGGATGTCCAATTGTCTACAGATGGGCTTTGGGTTGCCACTCTGCATTCCCCCTCATTCCCGTTGATATGATTTTTTGTTCTGGATGTCTTCCAAGGTCTTAAAAAAGTCTTTCCCAACCTCATTTTACCTCCCTTGCAAAGTTCATTTGGCAGTTCCAATTTACTGTGTTAGGCAGGTTTCTCTAAAGAACTAAAACCAGGACACTTATGATTATATATATTATACAGCACGGAGGACTATAACAGCTAATTAGTCCACCCAGCAATACAGAGGCTCAGTTCAGCTCACTCCCCTGAAACAGTTAATAAACTGGAAGTTCTTCAACTCGGGATGGCTGCAGGTCCAAGGTCAAGGAAGCAGACAACTGAGTCTTCCCTTTAGCAATGTAGGTAGAGTCTGCCCCCAGGCAGCAAACAGCAGGGAGGGCCACTAACAGTCAGCAGCTCGGGAGCTTAGCAAAGCAGGCCTAGATGAGATATTGAACTCAAGCAATGCAAGGTGATAGGATCCACCAGCCTCAAACTCAAGTGATGTACAGACCAGCAGCATGGCAAAGCAGGTCTCAAAAGAGCCTCAAGTTCTAGCAACACGATCCACAAGTTGGCTGTCCCACAGGTAGTGTAGCTCACAAGGTGAGGCAGAGAACTAGCTAAAGCGGCCACAAGCTGGTCTGATCACCAGAGAGCGAGAGAGAGCAGGGCAGGCTGTGCAGAGTCATTTATCCCTTTGCCCTCCAATCAAACTGCAACCTGATCAATCCCACATGTTCCTATTGTCCAAATTGGCACAATAAATCTATCACAATCCACCCCTTGCCAACTTCACACCTGTATACAATTCTTTATCCATATATAATTTCCAGACATTAATGAAATCACACACCTATCATATATATAAATGAAAGCACATTGAATTTAATGATATCTGATACATTGTACTTGAAAAAAGGAAAGACATCCAATAAGCCCACATAAAGGGGAAATACGATCACAAACCTCATTTTTGCAATTGATCACATGGTAGTAACTGATTGATAGAACTACCTTCTTTTACTACCCATTCTGTATTACCTGTGCCCTTGGCCAGCACCTAGAGTTACCATGGTTCTTTGCCTGATGGGGTGACCCAGACCTTCATTCCTGAGGGGTCTGGGTGATTAGACACCCTGTCAGGATTGGGTTGCTGTATAGTTTACCATGTACTTTAATCAGTGGGCATGGTAGTACTAAGAGACAACCTACAGGATCTTCTGGATTCCAGATATATTCTTATTTACCTTCATTATGTAGCACCAATCCAATTTCTTGTTGGTAATCAGGATCAATCACACCACTCAGTGACACCATTCCTGACCTGTTGATCTAAAGCAGTGGTTCTCAGCCTTCCTAATGTTGTGACCCTTTAATATAGTTCCTCATGTTGTGGTGACCCCGCAACCATAAAATTATTTTTGTTGCTACTTCATAACTGTCATTTTGTTATGAATCGGGCAACCCTTGTGAAAGGGTCGTTCAACCCCCAAAGGGGCCGCGACCCACAGGTTGAGGACCATTGATCTGAAGGCATGAGAAGCCCAATGTGGCCAGGGGGCATTCTCAGCTGCTAGTTCAGTGGAGTCAGTGTTGTGTTTCCAGGTGAGAGAGTTCCTTCCTTCAGGACCAGGACCTCCAGGCCTGAAGTACATAGGGTTGCTGGGACAGGAATCAAAAATGCTGCGAGTGGATCACTAGGAGTAGTAGTGAGTGGTGCCACCCCAGCTTCCACTCCTTGACTCCTGGACACATGAATCCTGGCTATTGGAGACACAGCACCATATATTGGCTGCTGGTTTAGAGCATATACAGCCTCCTAGAGAACATTGCCCCAGCCCTGAACATTGCCACCTAGCTGGTGCTGTAATTGTTTCTGTAGGAGACCATTCCATTGTTCTATCAAGCCAGCTGCTTCAGGATGATGAGGAACATGATATGACCAGTGGATTCCATGGGTATAGGCCCATTTCGCACTTCATTTGCTGTGAAGTGAGTTCCTTGTTCTGAAGCAATGCTATATGGGATGCCATGCTGGTGGATAAGGCATTCTGTAAGTCCACAAATGGTAGTTTTGGCAGAAGCAAAGCATGTAGCAAAGGCAAATTCTTATCCAGAGTAGGTGTCTATTCCAGTAAGAACAAAACACTGCCCTTCCATGATGGAAGTGGTTCTATGTAATCAACCTGCCACCATGTTGCTGGTTGATCTCCCCAAGGAATGGTCTCCATATCTTGTTGATGTGGTAGTTACATAATCTGGTGTCAACTTGCAAAGAGGTGGAATCTAGCCTATCAATTAGGTTGCAGCTTGATGACCTCATTTGGAGGCACCATGGAGATAAATAGCTCACTGGAGGCCAGATACACTCAGACTCTACACTTCATCTTCCTGCTGACAAGGCACATGGAGCAATGCTAGAGCCCTGAAGCTGGAGGAGCCATGTAGTGACCCCTGCTAGCGTTGAGATGCTTCCACCACCACTGGATCCACAAGACTTTCCACCACTGGCCTGTGATCTTCCTGCATTCAGTGTCATTGTACGTGTTGCGTGAGTCTAAAAAGGAATTTATACATTGGTATCAGACATCTAGTCTAATATTGGACTTAAGGACTTTATCTGGCCTGGGCTGGGCTGGGCTGTTTTCTCAATGAGTGTCTATGAATTTGTTTCTCTCGTCAACCCAGACTAACACATTTGGCTTCTGCTGTTGGCAGATGGGGCACTCAACAGTGGCAGTGTCCAAGTCAGCCTTGGAGTGGAAGTCCATGTTGCTGCACCCATGCATACCCTCCACCCCTGCCACTATGTCCACTTTGTTCATGTTCCCATTGGGCAATGACAGGAGTGGTGGCAGAAAGAGGAGGACCAGTCTCCCCAGTGTGTGTGTCATCTTATCCACTTGATTGTTAAAAGTCCTCCTCTTCAGAGGTAATGCTTTCATGAGCGTTCACATGACACAATTATCTACTTTCTTGGCCCATTCAGAGAGGTTTATCCACATACCTCTTCCCCATACCTCCTTGTCATCAATTTTCCAATCATGTTCCCTCCAATTCCCTGACCATCTAGCCAAGCCAAGCACATGAATCAGTATACAATCTCACATTTGGCCATTTCTCCTTCCAGGCAAACCGAAAAGCCAGGTGCACTGCTCAAAGTTCTGCCCAATTGGAGGATTCCTCTTGTCCTTTAGGGAGATCCCAGAAAGGTCCACTTACGAGTGGCACCTGCATATTGTGCAGAGCCATCCATAAACCAAGCATGACTTTTCTG